GGGAAAGAGAGAAATCACCTCTTAGGAGGCATGGCCATGCTGCAATCCCTTTTTCTCCATTCTCCTATTGGGATCTTGGGCATGCATGCACATATGCCCAGAGTGATTTTTAAGCCACCAGGTCCAGGATTCAAACCACAGTTGACCATGTGGGAGTCCAGTGATGTAACCACTATGTCATTTGCTGGCCCCCCCATATTAATCTATTCTCAATGCTTTCACACCCATTGAATCATTGATCCTTAAAATTACCTGGTGTAGAGCAAAGATTATCATCTGTCCTGTGCCGGTAAACAGAAACTAAGGCTCACAGCTGTGACATGGCTAGAAAATATCAGAGCCAACATAGGAATACTCTCCAAATGTTATTAAGTTCTATATTAAGTTCTATCCCACTGTTTCCTAAAACACTTACAATGAATCTTCCAGTTTTGTTAGAGCAGCCATAAAGCCGAGGTGGATGATCTTCGGCCAAGGTTTCTAACAATGGTGAAGTCTGATAGTCTTTTTTCCCTCCAAGGGAATTCCAAAACTCATCTGTGGAAAATATACTGAGTTATTCAATGCAAATTCAGTAGCATATAATTGTTATTATTTTACATTAACAAATGCTATCTTACCTGGAATTTCATGTGAAGAAGTTACGTAAGTATATATGGGGTACCATCACCTACTTTCACAACTAAGGAGGGATTTTTTAACCTCCTATAATCATTAAAAAGTGACTATGAGGAGTTGGTTAGCAAGCACATACAAATGTAAATTTGGTTACATTGGCTCCATAGCACATACCTGGTTCCTCGCCTTCCTGAATCCTTACAGTTTTGCATTTGAGGACACTTGCTACATATTGTGCTCCTTTCTCTTCCTCCTGGCTAGCACCTTTTCCTATCCAGATGTAGCCATCATTTTGTTGCAGTTTCAGGACAAAAACATCATTGGAATTCAAAGAATTTGCATTAACATCAACCTAGGATATCAAGAAAAATAATAGTGATTCAAATACATAGCTGCTCCCTCAACAAACATGTCCAGAAAAATGACTGTTAACAAAACATCCAGGGCCAGAAAGTGGCATGGTGGTTAATGTGCTGGACTCTCATATGGCCAATCACAGTTCGAGTCCCAGACCTGGAGGCTTGCTTTACTACTTTCCCTTTCTCTCTCTCTGTCTCTCTCTGGTCAAATTAAACAAATAACGATAATGATAATAAATGAAATAAAATAATTCTAACACCCCCCCACACACACACACACACATACACACAAAATATCCATAGCCTTCTGCTCTATCCCTAGAAATTAATTCAGGCAGCTCTACGGCACCACTATGGCATCTGGAACATTAGGGTAGGAGATTTTGATCTGAACCACTTTAATGCTCAACTGTTCTCAGAAAGTAGTAGAGGGCTTTGGGGCCAGCAGTTAGCATAATGGTTATGTCGCTGGACTCCATGTAGTCAACTGCGGTTAGTGTCCCAGACCTGGTGGCTTAAAACTCACGCTGGGCACGTGTGCGTGCCTGCCCAAGATCCCAAGAGGAGAATGGAGGAAAAGGGATTGCGGCATGGCCATTGCCCCTGGGGGATGATTTCTTGCTTTCTGTCTGTCTGTCTGGCGAGCACACGCGCCCTATAGGAAAAACCTCTCAAAAACAAAAAACAAAAAACCAAGAAAGTGATAGAGAGCTTTCAGAGTAAAATTAGTCAAACTTAAGTGATAAGAACTGAGTGTCTAAGACTAGCAGATGGCATAATGGTTAAGTTGCTGGACTCCCACAGAGTCCAACCACGGTTCAAGCCCCAGAACCACCTGGCACGTGTGCATGTATGCCCAAAATTCTGAGAGAAGAATGGAGGAAAATGGATTGCGATCATTTGCGGTCAACCCTCTGGGGGTGATTTTTCATTTTCTGTCTTTCTGTCTGTTTATCTGGTTAATACACTCTGGTTAGCCTATAGCAAAAGTCTCTCTTAAAAAAAAAAAATTGAGTGTCTGGAAAAATAACAAGATAATAGTCAAAGAATACCATAAAAATAAGAATGGGTTAATTTATGTTTGGAAAGTGTATAGTATTCTTAAATGATATACATCAAGCAAGAAGGTATTAAGTTTTCTCTCCCCTACTAAGGAGAAAATTTTCAAATAACCAAATAGAAATCTAAAAAATCATAAAATGAACTAAAGTCCAATGTAGGCAAAGAGATAATGCTACTAACTCACTAAAAGGTTCTTAAGGTCCAGATAAATTATAGACCAAATTATAAATGACTATAAGGGATTACAAACATAGCACTGATATGATATAAGCATAGTTCTTTCCTACCGAGAAGCTGCAGACACAGTCTAGAATTCTACAGATGAGCAGAGTTTTGGTCCATGGGACCACAGAGGAGTGAGGTGGCCTGACTAGGTCTGACAAAAGATGAGGTAGAAGGTGGAACCTTTGGGCAGGAACAAAGCACATGCAAAGTCTCAGACTTGGTAATGAACATGGGGTCTTAGGATGGGCTTATGTCTTTGACTTTGTCTGTGACCCTGTGATTTTGTGACTATATAGATTGTGAAAACCTGTCTGACCATATGCGTAATTACATCACTATGTATGACTTTCTGCACAACTATGGAACTGAGTGTGATGTATGAAATGAATAACGCCCAGTAAGCAAGACTGAGATGGGGCAGGCAAGAAGGAAGAGGAAAATAAGAGAACACAGTGGTCTTGAAGCCAAGTGAATAAAATGTTTCAAGAAGGCAGGAGTGATCTGCTGTGCCAAATGATTCAACTAGGCTCAGCACATTAAACTGCCAGGATGAAGGTATTAACTATGTGGAAAGTTGGATATTAGCAGCCTTGACAGGACCCTGTACTCAGAGAGCATTTCAGGAGGAGGAATGGCTGTTGGAAGTATGCAAGATGTGTCACAGGGATTGGTAGCGTTTAGGGAAGTGTAGCCCTTTCTCAAGATGAATGAGGCTTCATGGACCACGTTCAAAGGAATCTATCAGAAGTGATGATGGAGAACTACAGGAACCATGTCTGGTGTTTAGGGCTCCAATTACTGATCTATGTCTTCTTAGTGATACAGAGGAATGAGAAAGTGATTAGAGGGCTGTGCCCAGACAGGTGTGCGGGACAAGGGAAGGTGATCCAAAATGGGCCATTTATAAACCTTTAACCTGCCTGTAGATGAATATAGAGAGTCTTATAAAATGATTGGTTAGTGCATTTGATAGAGGCTGGGAATGTAAGGGTTTGTTTGAGAGGCTGCAAGGGAATGAGAAACACTGCAAACAACTGATGATTTCTCATTAAAAAAAAAAAATGCCCACTGGAAAGGAGATCAGGAATGTAAGAATGATGCATTCTGGTTCAAATCTGAAATCAACTGAGTGCCCATGGATGAGAGTTTAACTGTCAATTTGATAGATAAATAAAAAATTAGTCATAATTGAATACATGAAAATTCATGCACAGAATGTTCTGGAAGAGATCAGTGTGTAAGCTGGCATTTAAACTATATGACTGAATGAGGTCACTATGAAGAGGGCCAAGACTGGGAACTAGCAGTTAGCGTAATGGCTGTGTCTCTGGACTCCCACGTAGTCGACCATGGTTTGTGTCCTGGACCTGGTGGCGTAGAACTCACGCAGGGCGCGTGTGCGTGCGTGCCCAAGATCCTGACAGGAGAAAGGAGGAGAAGGGATTGCGGCGTGACTATCCCCCCTGGGGGGTGATTTCTCGCTTTCTGTCTTTATGTCTCTCTCTGTCTGTCTGGCAAGCGCATGCGCCCTATAGCGAAAAAAAACTCTCAAAAAAAAAAAAAAAAAAAAAAAAGGGGCAAGACTTAAACATGGAAAAAAAAAAAAAAAAAAAAAGAAAGAGGGCCAAGACTGAACCTTGGAGCACCCAAGTATGTAGAGATCAAGAAGATAAGGAAAAAATGGCAAAACTGTCCCTAGACAAATGGCCAATAGGCTTAGAAGAAATCATGATAAATGTGATGTTACAGACCTAGTGAGGAAAAAAAAGTGTTTAATAAAATAGGAGAGGTTGATTGTGGCAAATGCTAGTGGGAGGTTAAGAGAAAAGAAATCAGAGAAGTTACTTTTGATTGTGGCAAGAGGTAGGCCATTGAGAGCTATAATATCCTTGTGATGTATTTTTCTATGTTTTTCTATGCAAAAATGCATCTAGACTTTCCTGGTGACCTAAGAGAAAGGAACCAGTGGAGTGGTGAGCATGGACTCCTGATGGATTTGATTTAGAGAAAATAGGCTTAAAAGGTAGAGACGGAAGTGAGTAAAGGCAACTCTTTCAAGAATGTATGCTTTTAAGACAGACAGACAGATTTGGCAGCAGAAGAGGTGAAGGTCAAGAGAGTTTTGAAAGAAATGACAGCTTTTTAAAAAGGGATCTTTGTATTTCAAAATAATGATCTAGGATAGAGGGATAAATTGATGACACAGAAGAGAAAATAGATTATTGCTTATAGTCTTGATGAACTGGAAGTGAGATAAATGCACAGGAAAAAGGTGATTCAGGAAAACAACGGGAGAGGATCCTAGACAGAAGATGGTAGTGGGTTGGGAGCAGGAGGAATTTGGTCTTAGATAGGAGCCATTTAAAAAATTTTATGCAACAAACATTCATTAAATTATTTATTGATATATCATTTTATACAAATGTATTACTTATTACTAACTTATAGACAATAATGTAGTGATATTAATTTATAAAATGCTATATGTAAGTCACTGATAAAATATTATATACATATATTAAAATTAAAACTTATTTCATAAAACAAAGAGATTATGTATAGCTGTAGACAATTTGGTGAAATTTTAGGGGAGTAGTTGAGGTGATCTATATGTGATTTTTTCTATGTTCTCTATGAACTCTGAATCAAAGTTACCATAGTGAACAGAGGATGCTAGAGATTTGAGAAAGATAAGGACATGAAGAATATGAAGGCTGAAGAGGATTTGTGTTGTGGATTTAGTCCTGGGACTGGAGAATTACTATGTATGTATTCTGGATTCAAGGAACCAAACAGAAGATAGCTGTCAGAGATTAGATGATTGAAACAGATTTCTGAGGAGCTACAGTTATTGTCAATAGCCAGATTTAGTATAGGACAATGTGAGTGTGAGATGAAATGAGTCAAGGAAAATAAGATTGGAAGAGAGAAGCCAGAGTGATGGAGAGAGTAGGGTAATGACTGAAGCCATCAAGGAATAAGAGGGGAAGGGCTGGCAGCTCAGTAGACGACAGCACAAGAGGGCTCGGAGAAGGAACATCTAATAAAATGGAGAGAAACTGAACGCTCAAGAGTGAACATTCCTGAGCCCTGCTCAGTGGGCATGGTGTGAAAACACAACTTTCACTCGAGAGGACTGTATGAGAATCTGTCCTCAGAGGACAGGCATAGAGCAAGAAGGTGAAAAGGAAGGGAGGCTTAGAGAAGAGCTTACAAACAAAAGATAACTCATGTAGTTTTAAAGGCTCAGCTAAATGGCTTATGCACAGGGGAAGGGTTGGAGATGGTTCCAGATTTGGGGATATTCAGAGTGTGCAGGGAAGTTCAGGGTGATTTGGGAGACTTAGATTTCATATGGTAACTGAAGTGAATAGGATCTGATGAGATTGTCCTATACGTCAAAGCATTCAGCTTTTTTTTTTTTTTTTTTTTTTTTTTTAGAGATTTTTGCTATAGGGTGTATGCACTCGCTGGAGAAACAAAGAGACAGAAAGTGAGAAATCACTCCCCAGGGAGGATGGCCACGCCACAGTCCCTTTTCCATTCTCCTCTTGGGATTTTGGGCATGCACGCACATGCACCCAGCAGGAGTTAAGTCGCCAGGTCTGGGACTTGGACTACAGTCGACTACGTGGGAATACAACATAAATATTATGCTATCTGCTGGTCCCAGCATTCAACTATTTAAAACTGGGCAGGCTGGTCTTGCCTATACCTGGAGGTCTTTTTACAGCACCATGACATGGGGTTTGATTTCTTCCCAGGTGCTGTTAGAGATAATTTATTTAGCCAGAACAGTTATGTTTCTGGCCCAGTACGGTCAGACTTGCTTCCCACATTTGTTACACTTGTGAGAACAAGGACCTTCTCCCTCAAATCTCCCCAGTGTGGTGAGTCACCCGACCATCCATGATCTGTCTACCCCAAAACAGATGTTAAGCTACCTCATGCCTTTGATAGCTTGATTTGTTATGTTGTCAATATTCATTTGTTTGACTACAATGCATCTGAAAAATGTAAGAAGCTTGGTACCTGAAGTTAACTTTTACTCTCCTGCTTTTATTTTTTTTTATTCTGAATAGTGGATTAATTATAGAAATGACAGTTTACTTGCCAATTTTTAGAAGACTAATATTTGTTAATGGCTCAGGTCCTTTGGCAAGTCTGTAACCAGGACTTGTTTTATTGAATGTATAACATTACCTCCACAATTCTGGTAATAGATGCCAGATTTCTTCGTACTTGAAAGAGACGTATAGGAGGGGCAGGTGCCTGACCTCCTTTCTTTGATGTCCCGTTCTTGTAAATAATGAGTGGTTTGTCTCTGAACAAACTCAGCAGGTGAGCAGGCTCTTTGCCTTGAGAAACTCTAATCTGGAGGGCAGGGGAAGGCAGAAGAATAAAAGAAATAAAAGAAACAGTGCAATGAGAAAGGTAATATTTTTAAGTGTGTTCTTATTTTTCTTAAAAACAAAGAACAAAATTCCAGAACAGGAGGAATAATGGTTAATGGAAAATGTAGGCCCATGATAAACCTAGCTCCCTCTTTAACTTCAGAATTTTTTGTCACCCAGACATAGTGTCCTTAAGTAGCTTCTTGTCAGGGGAAGCATCATCACACTGTAGCACTTTCTGCTTTCAGAAAGCATGAAGATGTAAGTTTGTTCAGATACATTGCTAAAAGAGAAAAGCCATCAACAGTAAAGTGCTGGTGTCTGTAACTTTATATGACAATTACTCTTTTCAAGAGCATCAGTATATTATAGACATACTAGATTCTTGTACGTTTTGGATCTGGTTTCGAAGGATATGGGATATGCATTGAAATGGTTCAAAATATAATTTAATGCAAAATCATACTCATTATGTCTATACCCTCATATATATGAGGAAAAAAAAACCAAATACAAAAAAGATTTCTATCCAAACATTAAAAATTGTCAAAAATAAATTGAGTATACTTTTTACTTTTTAACTTACCTATAGAAATGGTAATAGTAGATATGTTCAACACAAGCAACTTGTTTTTATACAATATAAGGGCTTTTCAGAATGAGGAAATTGAAGAAAATTAACAATAAATTATTTACTTGATTTTATCTACTAAATTAACACCTAAATTGGATTAGAATTTTCTCTCTTGCATAAACTAGTGATGGATTTTTTTTTTAAACATGAAGAGTTCAAATATTGTGTCTGTCCCATTTTATTTTCTATCTTTTTCTGCCTTATGCTAAAATTTAACCATCTCAATCTATTTCATCTCTATTCTGTTTTGTTCTTTTCTAAAAGCCAGGTGAGTGAGAGTGCTGATGCACCTACTATTACAGGGAATCCTAGGGAGCACTAAAAAGAATTATCTTCATAAACATCTTTTTTTTTTTTCTTTTTCCATTTTTTTCCTCAGAAATTACCCCCCATGGGGGGATGGCCATGTTGCAATAGCTTTTTCTCCATCCTCCTCTCAGGATTTTGGGCACACTTGCACATGTGCCCAGCATGTTTTTCAAGCTGCCAGGTCTGGCACTCAAACTGCAGAGTTGGCCATGTGGAATCCAGTGCTTAATCACCACACCACCTGCTGGTCCATAAATATATTTTAATTGGTAGGTGTTTAAATAAGTGAGCAGAAAATTATGGAAATATTTCTTTAGTCACAGTCCCAGAGCTTGGATAAGGAAGGGGTGGGAGGTACTAAAACTACCAGCTCAGCATTTCACAGATTTTACTTCAATTGCCAACGTTAAGAGAAAGGGGACCACTGATTAAGGCCCATCCTCTACTTGAAAGGAGGCTAAGAAATGGGAAAAGGTAGATTAGAAAATATTCAGCACTGAAAATATACTCTGCAAGGGAATATGCAAAACAGCAATATAGGTCCTTACTTTTAATGTATTATTTTAAACTACTGCCATCTAGTGATGAAACTAAAAATCACCATTTTGTTATCTTAGGATCAACCGGCTAACAAATTTATAGCAATTTATTATTTTGGTAAATCAAATGTTCTTCTGTGAAATTTGTACTACGTGAGAGGCAATGCATATCTCCAAAGTTTTTGAATAATTTGGTAAGCAATACTTTAAAGATCAACTAAATATCATAGATGGTGTCAGTTCTTAGCTAGAAATATTTCATTCAATAAATGAATTAACAGGGAAATAAAGTAGAGTGCATTTAAAAAATCCAATCATCTTGTTAATTTTAAATTAATGGTCATCAAGTTAATCTGTAAAAACAAAATTTAATATGCAATTAATTATTAAAAAATACCAAATGGAAAGGGAAGAAACTTAAAAAACATAATTCAGCCTTCAGATCTTAGACTTTACTGGGTCGTTGAAAGTCATGATGCATTTTTGTATGAACAGAAAAATATGTCATGACTTTTCCAGCGACCCAATATATTGTAAAGTATCTGACTTACCTCTTTATTTAATTATTGCCTTTGAAAAAGCAATTTCAGGGACCAGCAGTTAGCGTAATGGCTATGTTGCTGGACTCCCATGTAGTTGACCACGGTTCAAGTCCCGAACTTGGTGGCTTAAACTCATGCTGGGCACGTGTGCATGCATGCCCAAGATCCCGAGAGGAGAATGGAGGAGGAGGTATTGCGGCATGGCCATCCCCCCGGGGGGTGATTTCCTGCTTCCTGTCTCTCTGTCTCTGTCTTTCTGGTGAGCACACATGCCCTATAGCAAAAATCTCTCCAAAAAAAAAAGAAAAAGAAAAATAAGCAATTTCACATTTATAAAAACTTGAAAACAAAACAAAAACTTGTATACCTCATAGAATTTGAGCTCATTTGACATTAGTCATGAGACTGTTAAACAGATATGACCCGCAGGAGGAATGGTTAATGCTGCTGTATCAGAAACTTCACCATGTTGGCCAACTGAATACCTGCTTTCAGTGCAAACCCCAATCTGGAAGATACTTGTCCCAGCAGATGGGAGCAAATGCCTTCCCCAAACTGGCCAGGCAAAACACACAGGCAGGCAGAAACGCTTTTCCCCCTCCTCCTCTGTACTCCCTTCTGCTCTCATTTCTTCCTCCACGATTTCCCTCTCTTTCTTCCCACCTCTCCCTTTTCCTTCTCTCTCTTTTTCCTTATCTTTGTCCTCTCTTTTCTTCCCTCCTCTTCAGTTCTATCAGTCTTTTCCACCTCTCCTCCACTGCCCCCTCATGTTTGGGTGTTGGACTTTTGTTTCAGTCAAGCTTCTGATACCTAAAAGGGGAAAAAAAATAGGATCCATGCTCCCTTTCTAAGATTTATTTCAGTGTGCCTCTGCAAAACATAACTTATACACTTTCATGATTTGAGAGTGTGTAAAATATTGTTCAACTTTCTTATTCAGTAGAATTATTTATGTTTGTTCTATACTATTGCATTTATTTCCAATTGATGTTGTAACAAATTACCATAATTTTAGTGGTTTAAACAACTTTTTTTTTTTTTTTTTAATTATACCTTACAGTTCTGGAGGTTAGAAATCCAAAATGAGTTACTGGGCTAATTTAATCACTGGGCCAAAATCTGGGATAATTTTTCTCTAGTAGTGAGTTCACTTCCTTGCCTTTTCCTGTTTCTTAAGTTTACATATTCGCTAGCTGCAGGGGGGTGGGAGGAGAGCCCATCTACCTTCAAAGCTAGCAATCAGACAGTTGAATCTTTCTTATTTTATGCCCTTCTAACTCTGCTTGGCTCTTTGTTTTACTTATAAGGACTCTGGTGATCACCCTTAGCCTATCCAGTAATCCCAGATAATCACTCTGTTTTAAGGTCTTCAAGCCTTAGGCTACTTATTAGTAGACCTTAAACTTTAATTATTTTTTGCCTTATAACATAACATTTTATCAGGTTCTGAGGATTAGGACCTGAACATTTCGGGGGCATTACCATGCCTACCATATCTGGTTAATGAAAGCCAGAAATAATAACACAAGTAAAACAGTTTTAATGGCATGTGACTGTCACTGACATGTGGTATGATTCTAATGGGAAGATTCTTTTGGGCTCTCAAATCTGTTAATTTTTTGTTGTTTTTGATTTGTTCCCTCTTTTGTAGAATCTGAGAGAGCTTGTATGGCATGAGAAGATGTCAACTTCTCATCCTAACTTGGGAGGGGAATTTTAGAGATTGAATTAGCAAAATGTTGACCTATGTGAATTTTGGTTATAAAAATATCCCAACCTGTGGGGCTGGTAGGTGGCATGGTGGTTAAGGACGCTGGACACCCACATGGCCGACCATGGTTTCAGTCCCGGACCTGGCAGTTTTTTCCCCTCTCTCTCTCTTTGTCCCTGTCTGGTTAAATTAAAATAAATAAATAAAGTTAAGTAAAACAATTCTTTTCTTCCTTCCTTCCTTCCTTCCTTCCTTCCTTTTTTTTTTTTTCTTTGATAGGTTTTATGCTATAGGGCATGTGCACTCACCAGAAAAACAGAGAGAGACAGACAGACAGAAAGCGAGAAATCACTCCCCAGGGGGAATGGCTACGCCACAATCCCTTCTCCTCCATTCTCCTTTCGGGATCTTGGACACACACGCACACATGCCTGGAGTGAGTTTAAGCCACCAGGTCCGGAACTCGTATCGCAGTCGACTACATGGGAGTCCAGTGATGTAGCCATTATGCTATCTGCTGGTCCCTAAAAGAATTCTTAAAAAAAAAAATTCCGGGAACCAGCAGTTAGCGTAATGGCTATGTCGCTGGACTCCCACGTAGTCGACCGCGGTTCGTGTCCCGGACCCGGTGGCTTAAAACTCACGCCAGACACATGTGCGTACGTGCCCAAGATCCCGAGAGGAGAATGGAGGAGAAGGAATTGCGGCATGACCATCCCCCCTGGGTGGTGATTTCTCGCTTTCTGTCTCTATGTCTTTCTCTGTCTGTCTGGCGAGCGCACGCGCCCTACAGTGAAAATCTCTCCAAAAAAAAAAAAAAAAAAATTTGAACCTGCACAGCTTGTCCTCCAAGTGACCGATCCAATTGAACAGTTAGGAATGCTGATGTTGTCAGCTCATCTCTTGTGGCATTTGCTCCTTGCCTAGTGATATAAAGTAAAATAAATTAACTTACATTTAAGTGGAAGTATTTCAAGCAGAAACTTAAACTATTATAAAGGATTAATAAGAAACCAATTTATATAAGCTGTTGAAGCTACTTTTTTTTCTTTCATGAGAGAGACAAAGACAAATACCCTCAACAGGATCCCACATCCCAATCCCTCATCCCCAGTCTTCTCAACCAGCCAAATTCATAGGCAGGCATGGGTGCCTGTTAGACATAGAAACCAAATCCTACTCTTCCATATGGTTTCCAGCATTGCAGAATGTCATGCTACTTCTGTGCCCCTGTGGCTGTGTCAGAAGCTATAGTTTTTCTGTTTTTTTTTTTTTTCTTTTCTAAGTATTGAGTTGCCCTGTGTATTGTCTAGAACTATATGTACTAGGCATTTTTTTTTTGAGAGGTTTTTGCTATAGGGCGCGTGCGCTCACCAGACAGACAGAGAGAGACAGAGAGATAGAAAGCAGGAAATCACCCCCCAGGGGGGATGGCCACACCGCAATCCCTTCTCCTCCATTCTCCTCTCGGGATCTTGGGCACGCACGCACACGCGCCCGGCGTGAGTTTAAGCCACTGGGTCCGGGACTCGAACTGAGGCATTTTATCTCTCTTAAGTTTTTTTTTTTTAAAGAAGTTTTTGTCTCACAGAGACGGTGAGAGGGAAAGTAAGAAATTGCCCCTCAGGAGGATAGCCACCACAATCCCTTCTCCTCCATTCTCCTTCAGGGATCTTGGGCATGTATGAACACACGCCTGGTATACTTTTCAAGGCCCTGGGCCCAGGACCCAAACTGTAGTAGGCCTTGTGGGAGTCCAGCAATGTAACTGCTATGCCATCTGCTGGCCCCTCTTGGAATTTTTAATGAACACAGAACCAACTGTCTGGAGCCCAGAAAAATCAAGAAAATAATTGGATGTAGGCAAACGGTAAGCTCTATTTCGTCATTCTGGCAATTTTTTTTTTTTTGAGAGGTTTTTGCTATAGGGCACGTGCGCTCGCCAAACAGAGAGAGACATAGAGACAGAAAGTGAGAAATCATCCCCCAGAGGAGATGGTCACGCCGCAATCCCTTCTCCTCCATTCTCCTGTCAGGATCTTGGGCACGCATGCACACGCACCCGGCGTGAGTTTTAAGCCACCAGGTCCAGGACGCGAACTGCGGTCGACTACGTGGGAGTCCAGCGACATAGCCATTACGCTAACTGCTGGTTCCCTCATTCTGGCAATTTTGTAAGAAATTTTTAATAAAGCAGTAAGAAATGCTGAACTGTGGGACCCAGATAAGGGTCTGTAAATCAATTTGTCCAGTTCACTTGCAACTTTTTCTAGGGTCACTTGTGGGTGATAACTCTATATCACTTTAGCCACTCTAAATCACTTTCCCAAAGCAATCTTTGGGAAATATGTCTGTCTGATGAGTTGTAGGTAAACCAAACCAAACAAAAACCTGAATAGCCTAAGCATTCACTGAGCATTGGTTTTTTTTTTTTGTTTTATTTTTGTTTGTTTGTTTGGTTTAGGTAACGTCCCTATCTCTGTCTGATTAGGGGTTAGTAATAGCAATACTAAACTTGGAATTGGATTTTGAAAGTTAAACATATCTTTTCATCTGACACCATGACAGTAACCTGTTCCATAGTCAGAACAGATTAAAATAACCCATGACCCTGGGCAACACATCACCAGCGTACTGGAAGCAGGGTGCATGTCTTATCACAGATTTTCTTCACCAGGCCAGCATAAATAAATATTTGACATAAAACTGTTCCACAAAGGGCTACCCAAAAAAAAACATGCACATAGGTACATAAGAAAATGAAAAAAATTTTTTCCTAATAAAAGTGCCTACAAAATACAGTCTTTTGATGTTAGTAGCCTAAATTTTCCATGTGCTTAATAATGCTAATAAACTCTGTGAGTCGCCTGAAACATACCGTGGGGCATAGCACAGAGCACATGGTGATGGCCTTTAGCATGTCTGTCACCATATGCTATTCCTTGCTCATACTTGTAATTTCCTGACTTCTTGCTCCACCTGTTGTTAAAAATGGCTGTTTTTCATTTTACCTTTACCGTGGAGGAAAAAAATTCAACCAACTAATAGATAGTATCACCCAGCTTTTGCATTTCTTTTGCTCTACCATCTTGGATTATTTCAACAAGCAATCCTAAAAAATATCACCAAACTTTTCCCTTCTGACACTCTTAATAAATACTTCACTATTTTTTTTGGCGGGGGGGGTGGTGGGAGAAGTTTTTGCTATAGGGCACATGAGCTTGCCAGAAAGACAGAGACAGACAGAAAGCGAGAAATCACCCCCGCCCCCAGGGGGATGGTCACGCCACAAGCCCTTCTCCTCCATTCTCCCCTTGGGATCTTGGGTATGCACTCTGGCATGAGTTTAAGCCACTGGGTCTGGAACTGGAACTGTGGTCATCTACATGGGAGTCCAGCAATGCAGCCATTATGCCATCTGCTGGTCCCAATAAACACTTCACTATTATCTGAAGCCCTTCTTCCCATTCTGTCATAGTACCATACTCCAATCCACACAGATCCAAATGAATTTGCTTTTTATACTATAACCAAAGGTTCCAATTATTCCAATTTAATCCAGACATAAAATAGTGGCTCTTTCCCCTTAATTTTAAAATCTTATGCTTAGGCAGGAGAAAAAGAAAGAAAAGCAATCTACATTAAAATAATTTCTGTTTTATAAAACTGTAGTACTTTTTCCTTTAAAAAAATAAATGGAATCTATTACTTCAAGAGATTCATCATTGTCACTTGTTCAATGTTTAATTTCAGAGAAAAGTGATCATTGCTAAAATTATTTTTCTTCTATAATTTCAGAATACAAGTTTTCAGAATGAAAACATACATATCTGTATATTCAGAAGTTGATTTAATTCTAGTCTTTTACCTTTAACTCTGTTTGGACTTTATGTAAATAGGTTATATTTACATTCCTATAAAAGCATTACTTGCTCAGACCAGAAACTTGGGGGTCATCTTTGATTTTATCATCTTCTCCTTTTCCCACAACCAGTCTTTCCGATGCCAACTCCTTAACACCTTACAATTTTGTCTCATTATTTCCATCTTGTTGTCATTACTCTGAGTTTAGGACACATTGCTATTCGGCTGACTAACTACAACTAATTCCCAGTGGTCTCTCTGCCTCTAGTTTTCCCCCACCAATCCATCATTCAGATGTCAACCAGAATAATTTCTCTAAAATGAAAAACAATCATGTAAGTCCTTTGTGCAGCTCTTTGGTTGCTCCCAAAGCTCTGAAAATAAAGAAACGAAGCATGGTTTTACAAGGCCATTTATAATTTGATTCTTATTTCTCTGATTTTATCTTTTGCTCCTATCTTGCTCTAGCCATACTTCCTTATTAGTAGACTTGAGTACACTTTTTTCCTGCATCGCTCAGAATAACTTCCCTTTCTGCTTGCCTGTTTAGCTCCCACTTTAATGTCACTTCTAGGTGTCCTCTATTTAGGAGTAAACTGTGTCTATAATTCCACAGAGATTATTTAGTTTGGTGGTATCTTAATGCCCTTTATTTTACACTAAAAATAACCTATTAATCATCCCAATAGTTTTGATTTTGGGTTAAATTATTTAACCTGTCTGATCCCCTTTCTTCTTTTTTCTTTATTTTTGGGAGAGGGATAATATGTGGAAATATCTAGTACTTTGCTGGCGCAAACATGCTGACTGAAAAATGAATGCTGTTAAGATAGCAGCTTGGGGGTCCAGCAGTTGGCGTAATGGCTATGTCACTGGACTCCCATATAGTAGACTGCGGTTAACGTCCTGGACCCAGTGGCTTAAACTCATGCCGGGTGAGTGTGTGTACATGCCCAAGATCCCACGAAGAGAATGGAGGAGAAGGGATTGCGGTGTGGCCATCCCCCTGGGGGGTGATTTCTCGCTTTCTGTCTCCCTGTCTCTCTCTGTCTTTATGGTGAGCACATGTGCTCTATAGCAAAAACCTCTCCAAAAAAAAAAAAAATGATAACATTTTGGGACTAGCAGATGGTGTAATGGGTATGTTGCTGGATTCCCATATAGTCAACCGCAGTTCAAGTCCTGGACCTGGTGGCTTAAACTCACATTGGGCATGTGTGTGTGCCCACAATCCCTAGAGGAGAATGGAGGAGATGGGATTGTGGTGTGACCATCACCCTGGGCGGGGGTGGGGTGGGGTGGTGGTGTTGTGATTTCTTGCTTTCTGTCTTTCCGCTAAGCACACTGCCTTATAGCAAAAATCTCTCTCTCTAAAAAAAAAAACAACAGATAGCATCTTAACCATCTTAACCATAGAACTAAATAACTACATTCATCTTGGATAAGATATAGAATCAGTGAAGTCAGAAATGTCTCTGGATACAGTGGTTCTCATTAATGCAGGTGTACATTAGAATCTCATGAATCCAACCATCTGATATTTTGATTAATATAGTGTGGGGTGAGAGCAGTTTGATTTGTACAACATTGTCTAGGTTATTCCAGCAGGAAGATAGCGTTTAGTACCTGTTAATCATTAAGGTATGTATGTATGAATTGCCCAAGGATCTCATTAAAATGCAGTCTCTGGTTTAGTTGGTGAAAGGTGGGGACTGAGAGTGTGCATTTCTAATGAGCTTCCAGGTGATACTGATGTTTCTGTTTCCTAAACCACTCCTTAGGTAATAGTCCATCTCCTGAACTTGGTTGGGCTCAAGGCATTGGACAAAATAAATGGCCTGACTGTTGGGATAAATGTGACTCTGACATCTGATGTGAGGTTAAAGAGAAATGTCACCATCTCAGTAGATACTTGAATTCAATCTATTGAAAACTGTCATTATCTGTAGGCAAAGGTAGGATTCTGCTTCCCCCATGTACCCATACCTCTCAAATTTAAGATCTTTTCTGAAAATTCTTTTGTTTTTACATCTTCTTAGCAATAATCTATTTTACTTTGATATCACTTAGTAAAAGGCTAGAGAAGCACATGTTATATGATTGGAATCCTTATCCCTTAAAATAGCCCAGCATGATATAGGTACTTATGTGGTTGGACATTAGGTCCTTCCTCCTGGAGCAGGGCTTTGGTATTAATTGTACGTAAATCTAAACTTCCATGAACTCAAATCATTATATAAGATTATGTAAGTTATGCTGGCATATCTTCTCCAGTATTATTGTGAATTTCATGAGGACAGTGAGTAAGGATGCATAAATTTGAGATCTTTGGAATATAAAATGGAATCACAAGTTATATCCTTTTCAGTATTTCCCTCACTACAGCTTCATAGCTCTAATCAGGATGGGCCTCTGTGAATTTTACCTATAAGAAGACTTGTACCCAATATTCAACGACATATCCAAGAGAGCACTATCAAAGCTATCAAAACCTTTTCCTAAAAAAGATTATTTTTTTATTCCTAAAAAAGATTATTTTTTTATCTAAATTTATCTTCCTGTGGATAGCAGCAATAAGACATAGTAAAAAATTATGTTAAAAGAAAATATGGGGCACCAGCAGTTGGAGTAATGGCTATGTCACTGACTCCCATGTAGTCGACCACGATTCGAGTCCCAGACCCAGTGGCTTAAATTCATGCCTGGCACATGTGCATGTGTGCCCAAGATCCCAGGAGGAGAATGGAGGAGAAGGGATTGCAGCGTGGCCATCCACCCTGGGGAGTGATTTCTCACTTTCTATCTCTCTATCTCTCTCTGTCTTTCTGGTGAGCACACGGGCCCTATAGCAAAAACCTTTCAAAAAAAAGAAAAAGAAAATATGGAGGCCAGCAAGTGGTCTGGTGGTCAAAGCGCTGGACTTCTATATGACTTTGTGTGGTTTGAGTCCTGGACCTGGCAGCTTGCTTTCTCACTTCCCCTCTTTTTCTCTGTCTCTCTGGTAAGTGCAAGTGCCCTGTAGCAAATTACAAAACAATAACAACAATAATAACAATGACAAATAAATAATTATAAAAAAGAAAATGTGTATGCTGTACAAATTTAACTGGGGCAATTATAGAATTATTCTACCCTATATCAAATGGCATATAATAGTGTGGAGCAAAATGTGACCCCTATGGAACTTGAAATCTTGTGCAAGAGATAAACTTACCATGTGTAGATAATCTGTCCTCTAGGATAAGTGTAGAGTATAATGTAGCAGTCACCACCATAGAATTCACCATATGAGTTTTGGTCAATTTGGATCCTCCCATTGTTTTCTACACGCCAAATCTGGAAATATTCAAATATACATACCAAATTAAAATTTTTCATAGTCTAACAATATTTCTAGAAGACTTTAAATTTTTTAAAATTTAGATCTATCATTAAATAACTTTTAAAAATTTTTTTGATAGGTTTTTGCTATAGGATGTGTGCACTCACCAGACAGAGAGAGACAAAGAGACAGAAAGTGAGAAATCACCCCCTGGGGGGATAGCCACGCCGCAATCCCCTCTCCTCCATTCTCCTCTCGGGATCTTGGGCATGCATGCACACGTGCCCAGCGAGAATTTAAGCCACTGGGTCCGGGACTTGAACCTCAGTCGACTACATGGGAGTCCAGCGACATAGCCATTATGCTAACTGCTGGTCCCTAAATTATTTTTCTAACTAGTTTACAAATAAGCAACAGGAAGAAATTATCAATTGGACAATTTGTTGACTTTTCAGATGCTTATATTTTGCTTTCTCTATAGTATTTAGATAAATTCTGAGCCTGCTGATTAATAATAACCTATTATTTGATCAATTAGTGAAAATAACACAACACTGTAGTCTTGAATAGCAAACTTCATTATTCAGCTCAGTAATATCTCTTGACTTTTAAGTAAATTTATTTTTATCAGTTGTGAAATGCTTTTATTGCCTGTGCTTTAAGACGTAAGACTAGGGGCTGGTAGGTGGTATGGTAGTCAAAGAACTGGACTCCCATATGGCTGACTGTGGTTCAAATCCCAGACAGGGTGGCTTGCTTTCTCACTTTCCTTCTCTCTCTGTGTATCTCTGGTCAACTTCAAAACATAAAATAAAATAAAATAATGACAATGAATATAATTAAATGAAATAATTCTAAAAACAAAAAAAAGACATGAGACTAGCAGGCCAGCAGATGGCAGAGCAATTACACTGTGGGACTTCTACCTGGTTTCCAAGGTTCATATCTTGGACCCAGGGGACTTGAGAATCATGCTGTGTGTGTGTGTGTGTGTGTGTGTGTGTGTGTGTGTGTGCCCAAAATCCTGAGAGGAGAATGAAGGAGAAGGGATTGTGGCAAGGCCTTCCTCCCAAGGGGGTGATTTCTCGCTTTCTGTTTCTTTGTCTCTGTCTCATTTGCAAGCACACACACCCTGTAATACAAAATCTCTCCCCTGTAAGAAAAATTTAATTCCTATCTTCAGGGAACTGGGGAGAGGTCTATGAATAAATAAATAAAATAAATAAATAAATAAATAAATAAATCTGTTAAGTACCATAGAAACAATTCTATGGCACTTATGTGATAAATTTTATGAAAAATATCACTTAATGGTTGCATACAGAGAAAGGCAATTTCAGCACAAGAATCTTCTCAGAAGACCTATGGTTTATGACTTGAGTGAGTGGCCATGGAGAAGTGAACATTAGACAGATGTCAGAAGAGAGGTGTCAGCCCTTAGCAGAGTGGAAGGTGAAACTGGGAGAGGGCAAGGGTGAAATTATGGAAGGCCTTGGAGGCCTTGCTGATGAAGGCCTCGCAGTCTTTCAGAAAGACTGGAGAGTCACTAAAATACTTCATGTCTGGCCCATAGCATGGTGATTAAGTGATGCACAGAGGAAGCTGGATCCCACATGGCCAACCAGAGTTCAAGTCCTGGCCCAGAGTCTGGAATGCCATGCTGGAGACAAGTGTGCCCAGGATCTTGATGAGATGGAGATTTGAAGGAAAAAGGTTATGGCATGACTTGGCTCAGTTGGGGATGCAGGGGAGACTTTTCTGTCCCTTCCCAACCACTCATGTGCATGCATGCATTAAAAAAAAAAAAATTCAGAATGGGAAGTGACATCTTCCAATTCTCATTAAGTTAGATGATTAATGAGTTGGTTGGTTGAGTGCAAAGAGATTTTAGTTAGGCAGAATGACTAGGTGATGCTTAGCACTTTTTGTCTAAAATAGAATAGTCAACAAACTCAATTTGAATGCTCTAAAAATATCTGTGTTTCTATCATATGCCAAATTTACTTTAATGAAAGCCTCTAATGTGCAGGGGAAGGAGAAACTGATGGTAGTTGGTATATTTGGAGCAACATACCCTCACTAGACAAACCCAGGCACAAGCTTTCAAAGAGAAAGAACTGTTCTGGACAAGAAAACAAAACACCTGGGTTCAAGCCATGTCTTTACTCTGATAATTATGTTATCTTGCACAAATCATCTAACCTCTTATAATATCAACAAAACATCTCTAAAATAGGGGGTGAAGGTCATACTTCTCTTCTGGCTATAAACTTCATAGTTTAGTTACAGGCTCTATCAACTTTATTACTAAGTAATGTTCGCATTTCAAAATGTGGTTTCCTGAAGTTCTAGGTCCACACGTACTGGCATAAATGGACTTGATAACAAAACAAAATCAAGGTAAATACCTCTACTTTTCCAGAACCGTCATCCACCATGTTGTGTTGGGCTGCCATCTGCAGAGAACTGTGCAATTTTGAGGCATCAAATGGAATTTGTTTTATTTGAGCCACTTTCTCTGTAACATACACTTTTCCAAAGCCATCGCTCTGATCTTTATCTCTCCAGTCCTTAAAAAACTGTTTGAAGATTGGTGTTTCACCTCCTTCAGGGAGAACCTGAATCTGAAATTTAAAGTAGTACTAATAAATAAGAAAATAAGGGATTGAATAAAAACATTTATAGTGAAGAACTAAGAAATGAAAAACTTACCTTGGTTTCTGTGATTACAAATGTAAATGTAGAAGCTGTGAAACTAAGATAACCCAACCCTGCTTCTTACAACTCAAGTAATTGCCACTAAATTTAAATGTTTGAGACCAGAATAAAGTCCTTTCATATGTTAGCACTAGAGTCAAATAAGCTAGACTATATGAAATTCACGAGAGAGCTAGATGAAATGATCTCAGTGTGTTTCTTGTGCCAGGACATAAAAGTGAAGTGAGTTAGATGAAGGCAAGAGATTCAGAAAGGAAGAGTAATATAGACAGTGTCTTAGCTGATCCTAATGAATATCAATATTATTGGATGGTCGGAAAAAATGTTATGCATTTTGCATAGAAAAATATGTCATGATTTTTCAGATGACTCAGTTTATCAGTATTAGCCCAAGTCTGAAAACTTACTATAAGAAATAAATGATAGGTGTATAATTGGTTGATTATCTTGTTTTAAAGGCTGTGGAAGAAGTTAATGGGCTCTTTTTTTTATCATGCAGCCCAATGATATCTGATCTCCAGTTTCTGCAAAATTCTATTCCCAACACAAAGTATAGGGACATACAGCACAAGATGGCACACACCCAAGTGGAGAATGGCCTCATGTGCTACATTATGTTCAACCAAATTCTCTCATGAGTTTTGTGGAGATATACTGAGCACTCTTGTTTCTTGTTTTAAATTTTTTTTCCCTACTCAGTCTATTTTCACACCTACTTGAGTACTGGTGGAATAATTCATTTGCTGTAGGAATTCTTCAGCTGTCTTCATTGCAGCCTTCCTCTCCTGGGGATTAGCATCTTTACCTAAAATATAAGGTAAATTATAGAGAGTCAGAGGGGGAAGATACTAAATGATTAACAAATACTAGTTTAAAAAAAAAAAAACACCTAAATTGTCATTTAAATATAGCAATGTGAGAATGGCAAAAATTCCCTATTACATTAAATATATTTGATAATATAATAATGAATGCTATTTATAAGGATATTCTTTTTTTATTGTCCAGATGCTTTTTTTCATCCCAGAATACCTGGTAAATGGATACTAGCAGGGGAAAAATGATTGTAGTTTATGTGAGATAGTTACAGATCAAATCTCAAAACTTAGTTTTCTTTTTTTGGAAAAGATATTTCTTTTATCTTTTTGAAGAAGTATCTATAAATCTGAAATGCAGCAACATTGTCAATGGCATCTTTTACCTTTCCACACGAAAATTTTTTTTGCGGCACCATGATCCAAAATAAAGCATTCTTCAGAGAGCAGCATGGCCATGGAGAAAGGATTTTCCTCTGCCACTACAGTTACTCTCATGGATCCACTTGCATCTGAAACCTAATATAAAAGCCATCAGTTATGCTGGCCCTATGGGTTAAAGGAGCTGGATCCCACATGGTCAACTGCAATTCAAATCCTAGCCCCTGGAAGTCTGAAAAAACACTCCAGACATGTGTATGTGTACCCCAAATTCCAATAGGATGTAAAAATAAAAAAGGA